GCACCCCAAGGTACCTTCTCCCGCAGATGCGCAGACACACCGCTGGACCCAGCTGGGGAAACAACCGGCGCCAGGCCCGCCCCGCCCCGTCCAATCAGAGCGCTCTGCTGAAAGGAGCTCAGGTACTCCTTACTGTCCCTAGAGATAATTAGTCGACGTACCTGCCAGTCAAGTTGAGCACGAATCAGTTTACTAGCCGGTTTCGGGGACGGATTTTGGACTAGGCTGATGCAATGAGCGAGAAAGAGGGGACAGTGTCACGTGGTAGAGCTGGAGCCTGGCTCTTGGAGGCCGACATTTTGGTTTCCAATGGCCAAGTCCTGATAGTAGACAGTTAACAGAAGGAAGGCTGACGTACAAGTTAACGAAGCATCCAGGGCTGGGTATGGCTCTCTTAATTGCAAATCAAAATGCAGACCTCCAAGGATTCTTTTTTTAATTAAATTTAAATTTGCATTTTGTATGTATTAGTGTGTTTATTGCCAGTATATATGTAAGTGCGCCCCGTGCGTGCATGCCTGTGGAGGCCAGAAAAGGGCAACAGAACTGGAGTTACAGTGGGGAGGGGGATGGATGTTGTTAGCCTCCATGTGGATGCTGGGACCCAAGCCCAGTTCCTCTGCAACTGCAGCAGGGGTTCTAAACTGCTAAACCATTTCCCCAGCGCCAAGGATCCTTTATTTAGGTATTTTATTTTATTTGGTTTAGTTTTGGGGGAACAGGGTCTCCTTGTAGCCCCAGCTGACCTGGAACTAACTCACTATGTAGAACAGGCTGGCCTCCATTTCACAAGAGGTCCTCCTGCTTCTGCCTCCTGAGTGCTGGGATCAAAGGTGTGTGCTGCCATGCCCAGCTTTTAATTTAAATTTTAAGCTGTGTACTGGTATCCCCCTTTTCACAGATGACCAAACTATCTTGCCCAAGTTAACACAGAATAATAGTTGCATAGTCAGAATTTGTCTATTTAACTCCAAAGTCCATGTTTTTAGTCACCTTTTTATTATTCTACATTATAGATCAAAACATACAAGCAATAAAATTGATCATGACTTGGTGACAGATGTGGCCAAAAGATTTTTTTCTTTTTGAGACAGGTTCTTACTATATAGCTCTGACTGGCCTGGAACTCACTATGTAGATCAGTCTGGCCTGATCCTCACAGAGATCCATTCCTGCCTCTGCCTCCTGAGCACTGTGATTAAAAGTGTGCACCACCACACTGTGGGGTCAACATTACTTTAAAAATAGTGTTTTACAGTCATGGAGTTTCCTATCATGGGTGAATGCAGCAATAAATGAGAACCCTTCAAAGGGTCCTTCTGGTGGATGCTTCTGAGTCGCTGGTGCCCACTGTTCTGTGCGCATGGCTTGCGAGCAGGTCCAAGACCTTCTTCTGATTGGCTGGAAGGGGCTGGCTTCTAAGCCTCAGCCAATGACATTTGGGCTTGGCCTAGACGGAGAGTGGACGTTGGAAGAACCTAACCGCCATGTGAGCAGCGATGGCGGGGGCTGCAGGCCCAGTCTGGGTCCGAGGCCGAGTCCGAGGCCGAGGCTGGTTTCCACTCGCCCTGCCCATGCGTGGTGTGAGTATCTGTGTGGATCGCTCCTCTTCTCCAGCGTGAGTGGCCTTCCTCCCTCCTAGAAGGAAGGGAAGAAAGCGTGATAATAAAGGCTAATATTGTTTGTGGAGTCTTGACCATAAGCCAGGCGCCATCCATGGCGTCTTGGTGCAGCCTTTGATCCCAGCACTCGGAGCTCTGTGAGTTTGAGGCCAGCCTGGTCCACATATTGAGTTCCAGGCTATCTGGGGGCTACAGGGAGACGCTGTCTCAAAAAACCAGAATAGTAAGATGAAGAAGAGGAAGAAAATTTAACCCCCTCCCCCATGAACGGCACATAGCATCCTCTAAGGCATGGTGGCTGCTTCCCATGACTTTAGAGGAAACTGAGGCTGGCTAAGCCTGCATGGGATTAAAGGGATTAAATACAGGAGGCTGAAATAAAGTCCCTAACTGTCCTTGCCACTTCGGACACAGACACTGAGTTCTTAGACGTCTCATTGCTCAACTATGTTATGGTGCACGTCTGAGAGTCCAGTTGCTACTTTTTTGGAGGAGTTTTGTTCATTTAATAGAAGAGAATGCACAATACACACGAAATTCAGGATAGCTGTTGTCTCTTCTCTTGAGACAATATAGAGAATGCTTTTTTCTTTTGTTTTGTATTCTGAAATACAGTCTCATCAGCCTAGGCTATTCGCCAACTCAGATGTGTAACCAATAATAACCTTGAACTCCTGTTTCCCTCTACCAAGTGCTGAGATTACAGGTTAGAATCACCAGGCCTAACTTGGGACTGTTGAAATTTTCTTGTTTTTGGCACTGAACATTGTTCCAAGGGTCTAACATGTGCTGTACTTTTAGTTCTTTGTTTTATTTATTTAAAAATTTTGGGGGGCTTATTTTTAATTTTTTATGTGTACAGTGTTTTGTCTGCATGTATGTATGTCAACCACATGCCTGCATTGCTCACAGAGGCCAGAAGAGGGCACTGGATACCCTGGAACTTGAGTTACAGATAGTTGTTAGCTGCCATGTGGGTGCTGGGAACCAAACCTGGCTGTTCTGCAAGGGAAGTTAGTGCTCTTAACTGCTGAGAGACCTCTCCAGCCCCAATGTTTTACTTTTAAAAAATATTTTATTATTTTTGCATGTATGTGAGTGTACCCATGTTGTACAATGCTGCCAATGTCAGAAGACGGCTTCAGATTCCCCTGGAACTGGAGTTAAGGATGGTTTGTAGCTGCCATGTGGGTGCTGAGAATCAAATGGAACCTGAGTCCTCTGCAAGAGCAGTCAGTCTTCTTAACTGCAGAGCCATCTCTCCAGCCCCATGTTTTACTTTTTTAAAACTCATGGTAATAATCTCAGTGGTGTGTGTGTGTGTGTTTATTTTTTTTATTTTTGAAGCAGAGTCTCCCTGTAGCCCCAGCTGTCCTGGAACTCACTATGTAGACCAGGCTGGACTTGAACTCACAGAGATCCTCCTGCCTCTGCCTCCCAAGTGCTGGGACTACATGCCCGGCACGTTATTTATATCTGGTCATACTCATCCTGGTACCTGTCATATCTTCCTCTCATCCACAGAAGCCTAGGTATTTGGTATATATTATTCCCTTCCTTGTTTGTCTGAAGTGCAATTTTTTTTTGTTTTGTTTTTTTGAGACAGGGTCTCCTTGTAGTCCCAGCTGGCCTTGAACTCACTGAAATCTGCCTGCCTTTGCCTCCTGAATGCAGGGATTAAAGTTGTGTGCCACCATGCCCTGCTTTTTTTTTTTTTTTAGATTGAGGCCAACCTGTAGCCTCAATCTCCTGAAGTACAATTTTTTTGTTTGGATCATTTATTTCATTTATTTTTTTATAACCTGTCTCAAAAAAAAAAAGGAAAATGAACATATGGAAAAGAATTTAAGGGAATAAAATGAATTAAAAATGAAGTCTTGCTGGGCGTGGTGGCGCATGCCTTTAATCCCAGCACTCGGGAGGCAGAGGCAGGCAGATCCTCGTAAGTTCAAGGCCAGCCTGGTCTACATAGTGAGTTCCAGGACAGCTGGGGATACAGGGAGACTGTGTCTCAAAAAAACCAAACCAAACCAAACCAAAACAAAACAAAAAAAAGAAGTCTTAGAAGAGATGGCTCAGCGGTTAAGAGCACTGGCTGCTCTTGCAGAGGACCCAGGTTCAATTCCCAGCACTCACATGGTGGCTAACAACCATCTTTAACTCCAAGTTCAGCAACTCAAATGCCCTCTTTTATCCTCTTCAGGCATTGCACAACAGGGGCACACTTACATACATGCAGGCAATATACTCGTACACATGAAATACTTTGTGTGTGTGTGTGTGTTCTTGAGACAGGATCTCCCTGTAGTCCCAGCTGGCCTGGAACTTGCTATGTAGACCAGGTTGGCCTTGAACTCACAGAGATCCATTGCCTCCCCAGTGCTGGGATTAAAGGTGTGAGCTACCACACCCAGCCTGCCTTTTTTTTTTTTTTTAGGTCTTTTTGACAGGGTCTCCCTGTAGCCCCAGCTGTCCTGGAACTCACTGTGTAGACCAGGCTGGCCTTGAACTCACAGAGATCCACCTGCCTCTGCCTCTTAAGTGCTGGGATTAAAGGCGTAGGCCACCACACCTGGCTGCCTTTCTTTTTTACACATCATCATCTACCCACCATTGCTTTAGATTAATTTGTCGTCGTGGAATATTTATGTTTTCTTAAGGTCTAGGAAAATGCCCAACTTCTTTCTAGGGAGAAAAGCCTGTTTGATCCTGGTTAGAGGAAAACATGTATCTTAGTTCATACACAGTTTATCTTCTCCAAAATCCAAAGATATTTCCACCTTTTAAAAAACTTACCAAAACAAAATAAATTAAAATTCTGCCAACGGTACAATCTTTATACAGGAGAGCTGGGCTTCTAACCCAGGCACAGATGACTCCAAAAGTCATTAAGCTGCTCTTGCCAGTTTCCCCCATGAAACTGTATCTGTTCAGTTGAACTTGCTCTGATGCTCTACCAGGAACACTTTTCCCTGGCACCGTCTTTCAGTGTTTGCAGAGCTCAAATATAAGCACCTAGCCCTTTGTCTCACGGGCTGTCTGCCAATAAGAATATATACTGGCTTGAGCTCAGCTAAAAGGCTGGGATGCTTAGACGCGGCATTTGAAGTAATCCACCTATAAACTTTGCTTGCTTTTTGTGTCCTGACTGTAATGGTTTTAACACAGTCCATATGAACGTCTTCTTTGCCTACGGTGGGCGGGAATGACTTTGGTCTTGGCTGGAGAGCGGGTTCACCTATCTAGCTTGGGGTAAGCGGGCGCCCGTAGGGAGGAGGGAACCTCTCGGCGACGCTGTCTGTCCAATCGCTCGGATGCCGGGCTGGCGCGGACTCCAACGTCACTGCAGTGCGCGGCTTCCGGTTCTCAGCTGCGAATGACCGCCCCCCGCCCCCACCCCTCCGAGCCCGGCCGCTCGGCGACCCAGTGGAGACCGTGGTCGCGCCTACCGGGCGGGCGCCTGACAGTGCGGTCCGCGCGCTCGCGACCATGGCCACCGACTCGTGGGCCCTGGCGGTGGACGAGCAGGAAGCCGCGGCTGAGTCGGTGAGTCGTCGGCCGCCGGAGGATGGGGGCCAGCGCTGGTCAGGGTCTTGGTCCCTGGGAAGGACATTCCGTAGGTGATCGGTGCGGCGGGGAGGACCGGGGCACGACGGCCTTCCGAGTGGTGTAAACGCAGTTGGGTGCCCGGTTCCCCACGGTGCCCAGTCACTTGCCTGAGGTCCTGGAATCAGGGCTGGTGCAGATTGCACTCACAGTCCGGGATCAAAATCCTGTAGCCTTCAGATCCTGAGCTGCTTGGGCTCAGGGAACAAGTCTTAACTCCTATGCGAATGCCTCCCCCACCCTGCTCATTGATGGTGAATGATTGACGGTCATTAAAAACGCTCCGGATTGGCTTAACTCTTGTTTCTAAGCCTGCTACATAGTACATAGTACATAGTAAGCAAGATATGAGTTAAACAGTACTGTATAGAATTAATTTCTCCTAAGCATCCTGAGTTCTGGTAGAGCTGTGAGCCTACCTCTCTTCATATTTCTGTGGATTTCCCAATAATAAGAACCTTATCTAGTTTTTTAACTTTAAAGAGTAAAGGGTTTCAGCCGGGCTTGGTCCTGCATTACCTGGAATCTCAACACCTGGAGGCTGAGACAGGATTGCTTCAAGTTCAAAGCCATCCTGGGCTACACAGTGAGATCTTGCTACAAAAAACCCCAGACTAACAAAAAATAAAGATTTGGGGGCTAGAAGTTAAGAGCACTGGCTGTTCTTGGAGAGGATCCAGGTTCAAATCCTAGCACCCACATGGCAGCTAACAACCATCCATAACTCTAATTCTAGAGGATCTGCCACCGTTTTATGACCTCTGTGGGCACTACATAACAGGTGCAATTACATACATGCAGGCAATATACTCATACATGTAAAGTAAAGATAATTTTTAAGCCGGGTGTTGAGGCACATTCCTTGACTCTCAGCACTGCAGAGGTAGAGGCAGGTGGATCACTGTGAGTTCAAGGCTAAGCCTGGTCTACATAGTGAATTTCAGACCAGCTGGGGCTACAGGGAGACCCTGTCTCAAAACAACAACAACAACAAAATAATAATAATTATCTAAAAAGTAAAGATTTATTTTAGCTCAAAACATAATTTTATATGTAAAGTTACGAATGCACAGAATTTAAAGAGAAATAGTTGTTTTTGGTTGTTTTGTGAGCGTGTGTGTGTGTGTGTGTGTGTGTGTGTGTGCACTTGCATGTGCTCACACAGGCAAGTGAATGGGTTAGGGGAAGATACTTTGTTTTCTTTTTTTTTAATATTATTATTTTTATTTTATGTGTATTTGTGTATTGCCTGCATGTAGGTAAGTGCACCCATGTCATACAATGCCCGCAGAGGTCAGAAGAGGCTTTCGGATCCCCTGGGACTGGAGTTATGGACAGTTGCTAGCTGCCATGTGGGTGCTGGGATTCAAACTGGGTCTTTTGCAAGAACAACCAGTGTTCTTAATCGCTGAGCCATCTCTTCAGCCTGTTTTCTTTTTTGAGGTGGGCCTTTCTACGTATCTCAGGCTGAGCTGGAACTCAGTCCTTCTGCCTCAGCCTCCTGAGTGCTGGTGTCACAGGCCTGCACGTCTGTACCCTGATCAAGAAATATTTTTTAAATTAATTTTTTAGGTTAGTCTACAAAATGATGGGCTTCACCATACATTTTTGTGCTTGTCATTAGACTTTCTGTTTCCTGTGACCGACCCTCAGGCCTGTCTTCTAGCTAGTTCTCTTTCTTCACCCAGGCAGTCTTTCCTCCTGCTTTTCTACTGCACGTATTCCATTACCCTCTCCTATTTTCCACCTCTCTCAAGATCTCTTCCTCTTCTCCCATGATCCTCGTTCTAGTTTTGTGACCTACAAACACACATAAATACCCACATTAATTTTACATCTAGGTTCTACATATGAGAGAAAACATTTGTCTTTCTGGGTCTGGCTTATTTTATTTAACATAATGATTTTCAGTTACACCTATTTTCCTGCAAATAGCATGATTTCATTTTTCTTTTTTTTTATTGTATTTTTATTTTATGTGTACAAGTGTATTGCCTGCATGTATGTGAGTGCACCCGTGTCAGCAATGCCACAGAGGTCAGAAGAGGGCTTCGGATTCCCCTGGAACTGGAGTTAAGGATGGTTCATAGCCGCCATGTGGGTGCTGGGAATTGAAACCAGGTTCTCTGCAAGAGCAGTCAGTGCTCTTAACTGCTGAGCCATCTCTCCAGCCCCCATTTTTCTTTCTTTCTTTTTTTTTTTTTTAAAATGATTTCCTTTTTTTAATGGCTGCATAAAATTCCACTGTGTATATATGCCACATTTATTTTATCCACTCATCTGTTGATGGACAGCTGGGCTACTTCTGTTTTCTGACTATAGTGATAGTGCAGCTGTGGACCTGGATATGCAGATATCTCAGTGGTACTGGAGTCCTTCATCCTTTGGGTATACCAAGAGTGGTATAGCTGGGTCAGCTTTCAAGGCACTTCTTGGTGGCTGCACAAGGTTACATCCCCAGTAACAATAAAGAGTTTCTTTTTCCCCAAATATTTGTCAGTTATTTGTTGTCATTTGTTTTCTTGATAGTCAATCTGACTGGTAGTGAGTTGGAATTTTTTTTGGGGGGGGGTCTTTTTGAGACAGGGTCTCCCTGGAACTCAATATGTAGACCAGGCTGGCCTCAGTCTGCTCGATTCTGCCTCCCGGTGTTGGGATTCAAGGTGTGACCACCATAGCCAGCAGTGAGATGGAATATTAAAGCACTTTTAATTTGCATTTCTGGGGGCTGGAGTTCCAGGTGATCCAATGCCCTGTCTGGCCTCTGAGGGCATTGCACATACATAATTGCACTTACATACATGCAAGTAAAACCCTCATATGCATACACATAAAACAAAAATTAAATAAATTTTAATTTGCATTTCCTTGATGTCTAAGGATGTTGAGCACATTTTATTGGCCATTTGTATTTCTTCTTTTTAAGAAATAGTTTACTTTTGTTCATCAGTGTATTGCCTGCTTGTATTTATGTGCACTTGTGTAGTGCAGTGCCCACAAAGGTCAGAAGAGATCATCAAATTTTCCTGGAACTGGAACTATAGATGGTTGTTAGCCACCATGTGGGTGCTGGGAATTGAACCTGGATCTTCTGCAAAAGTAGCCGGTGCACTTAGCCACTGAGCCCCTCTTTTCTTCAGCCCCTCTTCATTTTTTGGACAGGGTCTCTAGTTCATTTTAGCCTTGAACTTATAAGTTAGGATGATTGGTACTTCTCACCTCTGAGCATCCTGTTTCCACCTCCTAAGTGCTGGGATTACCAGTCTGCACAGTCATGCACAGTTTATACAGTGCTGGGAATGGAACCCAGGTTTTCATACATACTAGGCAAGCACTCTACCAACTGAGTTATATCTCAGCTCCATCTGTGTTTATTGAATTGTCTATTGAGTTCATTAGCTCCTTTATATATTGTATGATTTGTTTTTTTTAATATTTTATTTTTATTTGGTATGTATGAGTGTATTGCCTACATGTATATAAGTGCACCTGTGTCATTCAGTGCCCTCAGAGGGCTTTGGACCCCCTGGAACTGGAGTTACGGACAGTTGTTAGTTGCTACGTGGGTGCTGGGAATTGAACCCAGGTCCTCTGCAACAGCAATCAGTGCTCTTAACTGCTGAGCCATCTCCAGCTGGATTTGGGGGTTTGATGTTTAATTTTTGCAGTTCTTTTCAAAAATAAAACGTTTTATTGATTGCATATAATTTTAGCTATATTAACATATAAACGTGAGGAATTAGTAAGAAATGACTGTATTTTACCAAGATTAGTCTAAGTTGTACAAGCATGTTCCATGAAAATTAAAATTTAAGCCCTGCACAGATATTATAGATCTACTTTCAGATAATCTGGAAATTATCAGTTAAGCTTACAGTAAGACAGGATAGTCAGTCCCAGCCATGGACTGCAGTAAGTAGAAATATCATATCTGTTCCAGCAGATATTCCCTTTTTGTTGTACAGACTCCTTCCAATAATTTTACTTATATGATATCCAAAATTTGCCATTTTTATCCATAAGAGTTTTCCTTTTGGAAAACTGTAAAGGCATGAGACAACAGCGCAGTGCTCCTCTGGACTCTCTACTTGGGCTTTTCATTTTTGCTTAAAGCCCCAATGTACAATTTTTTTTTTTTTTTTTTTTTTTGGTCTTTTTGAGACAGGGATTCCCTGTAGCCCCAGCTGTCCTGGAAGGCTGGCCTTGGCCTTGAACTCACAGAGATCCGCCTGCCTCTGCTTCCCAAGTGCTGGGACTAAAGGCGTGCACCACCACACCCAGCCCCAATGCACAATTTAAAGGATATCATTCCCACATGATACTCAGGTAAGCATTTATTAGCACAGATAGGAAATGGAAAATTGTTTGAGCAGTGATTTGGGGTGGGGGGCAGATCACAGAAATAAATTGTTGCTGTAGAAAAACAAAAACATTCACTTTTGTGTTTTGTAGCTGATGAGATTGAAGAATCCCATTCAAATCTCTTATCTCTGTCCACAACGTTCAGACTGAGCACTTCCAAAGAAGCCTACCTTTGCTTTCCTTTTTTATCAGCTCATCGGTTTCTCTGAAACTTCCGGGATCAATTAGACATACAGTGTCCGACTGTTACTGTAGTCGTCACTACAGCCTTTGTCATTGTGTTCAGCTGTTCTTTCAGCTGGAACTTACTATGTAGTGTGAGCCACCATGCAGAGCTCCCATTTTTCATTATAATGTTGTCATTTTAATTGAGCGTTTCTTGTTTATATTATTAATGCATAAATATTTTCCTGATCAGATTTTTTTAAAATTACATTTATCTGGGTGTTTATCCCAGGGTGTGTTTAAACATCAAGCACAATATTCTCTCTCTCTCTCTCTCTCTCTCTCTCTCTCTCTCTCTCTCTCTCTCTCTGTCTTTTTGAGACAGGGTCTCCCTATAGCCCCAGCTGTCTCTGTAGACCAGACTAGCCTCTATGTCATAGGGATCCGCCTGCTTCTGCCTCCCCAGCTGTCCTGGTAGTTATATAGACCAGGCTGGCCTCAAGCTCAAAAAAATCCGCCTGCCTCTGCCTCCCAAGTGCTGGGATTAAAGGCATGTGCCACCATACCCAGCCAATTCTTTCTCTCTCAAACCCTCAGTCCCATTCAAACTGGACTGGTCAGCCCTGGGTTTATTTTAGAATGTGGAGGGGAAGCATCAGATTTGCTTTCAGCCTCATTCAGGGGATTTCTTCTTCCGTTTCTCTTGTGTTGAATATACTTTCTTTTTCTTATTTTATTTTATTTTATTTGCCTTTTTGAAGCAGGGTCTCCCTGTAGCCCCAGCTGTCCTGGAACTCACTGTGTAGAACCAGGCTGGCTTTGAACTCACAGAGATCCGCCTGCCTCTGCCTCCCAAGTGCTGGGACTACAGGTGTGTGCCACCACGCCCAGCTTCCTTATTTTATTTTTATGTTTATGAGTGCTTTCCCTACATGTATGTAAGTACACCGTATGCATGCAGGTCATTGGATCCCTCGGAACTGGAGTTTTGGATGGTTGTTAGCTGCCATGTAGGTGCTGGGAACTGAACCTGGTCCTCTGCAAGAGCCCCGTCCCTTTTGGGAGGTGGGTTTGGCTCCACTTAATACTTTATGATTAGTATAACTGCTTTGTACTAAATACAAATGGAAATAGCCCCTACCATTAAAATACTGTCTCACCAGGCATCTTACCAGGTGTGGTGGCACATGTCTGTAATCCCAGCACTCAGGAGGCGGAGGCAGGTGAATCTTTTGAGTTTGAGTCGAGCCTGGTCTTTGTATCAAGTTATAGACCAGCCAGAGCTACATAAGGAGATCCTGTTTCAGAAAGAAAGAAAGATACACATACACTGTCATAGAGGAATGTAAACTATGCCAGGATATCTCTAAATTTATAGTATCTTGACAAGGTCCTAATAGTTTTCTTGAAGATTTTCTCTGATCTGTTTCTTCCTTTCTAGCTCCACTTTAGCCTGTTGGGTAATTTTGGTTACATATGGTACCAAAATGCTCCAAGCTGTTCACAGTTAAAATATCAGACACCTAGCACAGAGCAGCTTGAATGTGATGAGAGGCTGTGTGGTAGCTGTGGTGATCTGGCTGAAGTGTACCAGCAGCATAACTAAGTCCTATTCCAAATGCTTTGCCTGGTAATCCTTCCTTCCTATTTGCTGTCTAACGTAGGAGTCCATCTTTCCAGTCTCTACATCTCTTTTTCTTTTCAAACATGAGAAAATGACAACTCTGATGATATCCCACTGAGAAAGTTTACTTTGTAATGAAAGCATTAACCAAACTTATAAGTTATAATTCTATCTAGAAATTGTAATTAGAAAATGTGAATTTGGGGCTGCTGTGTGGTCATTTTTCTTCTGCTGTATTTATGGGAAATTTTGTTATTCTTTCAAATGTTTAGAAGCAAAAGGAACCCGGCAGAATAGCCTAGTAAGTCATTTCTACTGACTGTGCTAGTGACTAGGTCTTGAGAGTAGCTCTCTCCTATTTCATTAGGGAGGCTGTTGATTCAAAACCTTGTCAGCGATTTTCTTGACACTTTCCATTCCCCCCCACATTCTCCATTTAGTTGAGCAACTTGCATCTTAAGGAAGAGAAAATCAGACCAGATGCCAATGGTGAGTAACTAAAGCTAGTTTGAAAACAAATGTGATTTTGTTTAGCATTTCTGTTTTGGTGTAACAACTGCTGGGAAAATATTCCATTTTATTAGACAAAAGACTAGTAGATACTGGTATTTGTTTGATTTGGATATTGGTGAACTAGATTGTCTAACCAAAGTATGTTTGCTACAAGAACAAGAATATTTAACTGGCTTATAAATACTAAACTTATTACTCACAGAGGACTATGTGGCCAAAGATTATTTCTTATTCTTTTTAAAAGACTGTATTTCATTTTGTGGTGAGATGGATAAAGTTTGAGCAACTTGTTGGTTGCCATATTATAAATACCCTGAATTTATATATGTTAAAAAAAATCTAAGGTGGAGGAGTAGGGGTTTACTTTAATGGTAAAGTGCTTGCCTAGCATGTATAAAGCCCTGGGTTCCTCTCCAGTACCACAAACAAAAGAGAGAGAGAGAGAGAGAGAGAGAGAGAGAGAGAGAGAGAGAGAGAGAGAGAGACTCCACCTGTCCATTTCCTCAGCCTCAGGAGAATCAGCAGGAGTGGATAACTTTAACATTTACCTCACACCGAATTCCATTAAAATTTTGTATATATTTCAGTTGGGCATGGTGGCATACACCTTTAAACCTAGCACTTGGGTGGTAGAGGCAGGTGGATCTTTGTGAGTTCGAGGCCAGCCTGGTCTACATAGTGAGTTCCAGGACACCTGGGGCTACAGGGAGACCCTGTCTCAAAAAGACCAAAAAAAATTTTTTTTGTATATATTTTTACATAAATACAGCATTGTTTGACTATTTTTTTTAACATTTTATTTTTTATTTTTATTTTATGTGCATGTGTGTATTGCCTGCATGAAGGTAAGTACACCTGTGTCATGCAATGCCCACGGCGGACAGAAGAGGCTGCTGGATCTCCTGGAACTGGTGTTACAGACAGTTGTTAGCTGCCATGTGGGTGCTGGGATTTGAACCCAGGTCTTCTGCAAGAACAACCAGTGTTCTTAACAACTGAGCCATCTGTCCAGCCCCCGTTTGACTATTAATAATTTATATACATGGAATTGTTATGACATTGTGAGTTGCAGAGATAATATGTTGAGCATCAAGATGCTTTCTAATCAGTGCTATTGTAGTCATCCCTCCATAGTATTTCAGAAATATTGATGCTATGAGAGAACTACTTAGTGGATTTTTAAATAGGGTGAGGGAAGGCTGGGTGTGGTGGCTCATACCTTTAATTCCAGCAGTTGGGAGGCAGATGGCTGGAGGATCTCTGTGAGTTCAAGGCCAGCCTGATCTATATAGTGAGTTCTAGTACAGCTGGGGCTACAGGGGAAACCCTGTCTCAAGAAAGACCAAAAATAAATAAATAGGGTGAGGGAACCTGGAATAGGAACTGAATGTAAGTACTGTTTCTAAACCTTATTCAGGGAGAATAAAATGTTATTAGCAATGACTTGGTTTCTTCATTTATTTTTTTGTAGGAATTTGGGAATTTGTAGAATTTGAATTGTCTCAGTTGCTGGGTGTGGGATAAGATTTTGAATAACTTCTGTTCTGTGTCTGCTCAAGGTGCTGTTGTTAAGACCAATGCTAATGCAGAGAAAACAGATGATGAGGAAAAAGGTAACACAGCCTTAAAGCTATGTAAATGAGGGTCTGCATTCTAGGAAAATGGGTTAATTAGGCTCTATTCATTTATTTATTGAGGTTTTTAGAAAACATGGATTTGTTTTTATTTATGTATATGTGTGTGTGCCTCTGTGAGTTTGTGTGCATGCAAAGACCAGAGGGCATAAGATTCCTGGACCTGGAGTTACAGATGTTTTTGAGCTACCTGATGGGTGTGCTGGAAACCAAACCCAGGTCCTCTGTAAGGGTAGCAAGTACTCTTAACCACTGAGCCATCTCTCCAGCTTCTGAGGTTCTTTGAGACTGAGTCTTGCTGTTTAACTCTTGCTAGTGTGGAACTAGGTTGAGTGTAGGCTAGGTTGGCTTCAAACTTCAATCTTCTTTCCTCTGTCTCCTGAGTGTAAGGATTACTCAAGCCACCACATTGAGCTTGAGACTTCGCGCGCGTGAGTGCATGCATGCGTACGTGTGTGTGTGTGTGTGTGTATGTGTGTGTGTGTGTGTGAGTGAGTGTGAGTGTGTACTTACATGCGGATGTCAGGGCTTGACATTAACTATCTTTTTCAGTTACTCTTCACCTTCTTTTGAGACAGGGTCTCATTGAAGCAGGAGTTCATGAATTCTGCTAGACTGGCTGGCCAGCATGCCCTAGGGATCCTCCTGTTTCCATCTCCCTAGCATGTGGCTTCATTGTTTTTTGTTTGTTTGTTTGTTTGTTTTTGTTTTTTTTTTTTTTGCCTTTTTGAGACAGGGTCTCCCTGTAGCCCCAGCTGGCCTGGAACTTACTATGTAGACCAGGCTGGCCATGAACTCACAAAGAACTGCTTGCCTCTACCTCCCAAGTGCTGGGGTTAAAGGCTGTGAGCCACACACACCAGCGAGGCTTCATTGTTATACCAGCTTGGTTTGATATTAATAGTTGTTACTCTGCTACAATTAAAAGTTGAATTTATTCAATATGTAAAAGAATTCTAATGGTTTACATTTTAGAGAAATTTTCCATTTTAATTATATTTAAAAATCAAAACTAATGTACCTTGAATACCTATGCATTCACGGACTTTTTATTTTACTTAATATTATTTATGTATTTTGTCTTTTTGAGACAGGTCTCTCTGTAGCCTGAAGCTCAAATATGGAGACTAGGCTGGCCTCTATCTCCTGAGATCAGCCTGCCTCTGCCTCTCAAGTGCTAGGAATAAAGGTGTGCACCACCACACCTGGCCCTTACTTTAATTTTTACGTGTATGAGTATTTTGCTTGCATGTAAGTGCATCATGTGCATGCAGTGTCCGTAGAGGCCATTAGAGGGAGTTGGATCCCCTGGAATTAGAGTTACAGATGATTGATAGATGCCTGTGGGTACCAAAAGAACAGCCATCTCTCCAGCCCCCAGGGACTTTTAAAAAAATCCTTGCTCTCTTTCTTCACAGAGGACAGAGCTGCTCAGTCTTTACTCAACAAACTGATCAGAAGCAACCTTGTGGATACCACAAACCAAGTGGAAGTCCTGCAGCGGGATCCAAACTCCCCCCTATACTCAGTGAAGTCTTTTGAAGAGCTTCACCTGTGAGTGTTTGTTTACTTTCTACATTTAGACAGAATCATAGACCTATATATTCACATACAGGGGAACATTACCTATATGAAGTAATGAGTATGCTTAGCTGCTTTGGGTTGCTATAGAAATTGTTGAGGTAATCTGTAAAAGTTTCAGTTGCACTCACACATTGTGTTCAATGATTACAGTTTGTGACAAGCTAGGTAGAGCAGTGAAAAAGAGAAAAAAGCTCCCAGATACTTTGCTGTGTTCCTCAGTCTAAGTGACTTTCATTTTTAATGGTTTTTCTAGGAAACCACAGCTTCTCCAGGGAGTCTATGCCATGGGTTTCAACCGTCCTTCTAAAATACAAGAGAATGCATTGCCTTTGATGCTTGCTGAACCGTATGTAACTTGATACAGTCCTATTTCATCTGTAATTTCCTATTTAAAAAACAATTTAATTTAAAGCCAGGAATGGTTACTCATGCCTGTAATCTTAGATACTCAGGAAGCTAAGGCAGGAGGATAAAAAGTTCAGGGTCTACTTGACCTGCAAAGTAAATTCAAGGCCAGCCTGGGCAATTTAAAAAACATTGTATACCAGCTATTTGTCTATGACTTTTTAAAAGCTTATTTATTTATTTTTACTTGTTTGTTTGTTTGTTTTAGACAGGGTCTCCTTGTAGCCCTAGGTGGCCTGGAACTTGATTTGTAAACCAGGCTGACCTTGATCTCAGAAGATCTACCTGTCTCTGTCTCCTGAGTGCAGGATTTAAAGTGTGTACCTCCATACCTGGCTTATTTTAATTTTTATGTGTATGAGTGTTTTGTCTGCATGTATGTAAGTGCACCTGTGTCATGCAGTGCCCTTGGAGGCCAGAAGAGGGCATTGGATCCTCTGGAACTGGAGCTTTGGACAATTGTTAGCCACCATGTGGATGGTAACATCCCAGGCCCTCTGCAAGAGCAGCCAGTGCTCTTAACTGATGAGCCATCTTTCTAGCTTATGACTTTTTAAAAGGCTTTTACTACATTTTTGTGTATGTCTATGTGTGTGTGCACACATGCACATATGGAGGTCAGAGGACAAATAAGGGAGTTGGTTTTCTCTTACCATTTGATTCCCAGGAAATCAAATTCAGGTTGTCAAGCTTGGCAGCAAGCACCTTTACCTGCTGAGCCATCTCACCAACCCCCAATTATAATTTCCCCTCAACATATTCTTATGAAAAGTTTAAGACATTTGGTGAATTTCAAGGAATTTTTTTGTGAAATACCCATATACCTATCACCTATTACTAGCTTTTTATTTTGCTTTTCACCCATGACTTTTTTTAAAAATATGTGTGTCTGAGTGAGTGTATGCTACATGTGTGCTTGAGAAGAAGGAGTTGGATTCCCTAAAGCTGGAGTTACAGGTGGTTGTAAGCTGTCCAACATAGGTGCTGGGAACCAAGGAGTGACTGAGTCAGCTCTCCAGCCCTGATGACTTTGAACTTTTGATCCTCCTGCCTTTGCCTCCCAAGTGCTGGGATTACAGGCATGTGCCACCATGCCCAGTTTGTGAAGTTCTGGGGATCAAACCAAGGGCTTCCTGCATGCCAGGCAAACACTTTACCAACTAAACTGTATCCCCTACTCCTCAAATTTCTTCTTCTTTCTTTCTTTCTTTCTTTCTTTCTTTCTTTCTTTCTTTCTTTCTTTCTTTCTTTCTTCCTTTCTTTCCTTTCTTTCCTTTCTTTCATCCATCTTTCTTTCTTTCTTTCTTTCTTTCTTTCTTTCTTTCTTCCTTTCTTCCTTTCTTCCTTTCTTCCTTTCTTTCCTTTCTTTCCTTTCTTTCATCTTTCTTTCTTTCTTTCTTTCTTTCTTTCTTTCTTTCTTTCTTTCTTTCTTTCTTTCTTTCTTTCTTTCTTTCTTTTTTTGAGACAGGGTCTCACTATGTAGCCCTAGCTGACCTGGAGTTCTCTATGTAGACCAGAGACTGGCTTTGAACTTAGAGATCCACATTCCTCTGCCTCTGCCTTTTGAGTACTGGGATTCAAGTATGCACCATCACACCTAGGACCAAATTTCTTAATTCCACCTGTGATGAGACACTTCTCTGGCCTTTACTTTTAGCTTGTCAAGCTTTGACTACTCCTTAATAACATGTTACCTGGGTATAATTGTTCCATGAAGAGTATAGCCAGTAGAGAAACCCTAACATGGGAACATGGCTGGCATGTTGTTAGAGCAATATTGGGACCATTGTAGTGGTTTGAGATGGGGGAGGCAGGGAGACGTAATTGGAGATGTAAGCTGAGAGATACCTAAGAGGCCACTAGGACCTTATAGGCCACTAAAAGGTCTGAATAAGGGGGCTGGAGAGATAGTTCAGTTGGTAAAGTGCTTGCCATGAAAACATGAAGACCTGAATTCAGTTCCCAAGGATGCATATAGAAAGCTGGGCACAACAGTTGTCCTTACCTACAGTCTTGGTTTTGAAGAAGCAAAGACTGGAGGATTCCTGGGGGTTCCTGGTTGGCTAGTCAAATCAGAGAGTTCTGGTTTCAGTGAGAGGTGTGGAAGTGATTGAGGAAGATGCCTGATGTTGACTTCTGCATCCCGCACGTGTGTGTACTCATATACACACATGCACACACAACACACACATAAAAGAGTCTGAATGAAATAAGGATTGACAGCATGTTTGAACATAGAAGTGACTTGAGCTTACTCACAGTGTATTAAAATCACTGGCTGTTTAGAGTATAAATAGACATGGAGTGCTTCAATCCCACCATGAAATCTCCCTGTAGTGCTCTGTGTTGTGAAGCTATTATTTCTGGTGAAGCTCCTAAATAGTTTCTTTTCTTGTGCAGCCCACAGAACTTAATTGCACAGTCTCAGTCTGGTACTGGTAAAACAGCTGCCTTTGTGTTGGCCATGCTCAGCCAAGTAGAACCTGCAAACAGATATCCCCAGGTAAGGACTTTGGGAACTTGGGGTCTCTACTAACATGTACTAAAAGGGGAATACCATTTGCTGGATTAGAAGCCCAGCTGTGGCTGGGTGTGGTTTTTCACACCTGGAATCCTAGTACTTGGTAGTCAGAGGAAGGAGGGTTGCTATGAGTTCAAGGCAGCCTGGGCTATGTAGTGAGTTCCAGGCTGGCTTGGGCTACAGTGTGTGACTCTGTCTTTTTTTAAAATCTTTTTGAAACAGGATTATTTCAAAAAGTCATGCCCGGCAGGGTGTGGTGGCTCACACCTTCAGACCCAGCACTTGGGAGGCAGAAGCAGGTGGATCTGTGTGAGTTCAAGGCCAGTCTGGTCTACATAGTGAGTTCCAGGCCAGCTGGGGCTACAGGGAGACCCTGTCTCAAAAAGAAAAAAAAAAAAAGTCACGCCCAGCGTGACTCTGTCTTAAAAGAAACAAACCAAGCAATTTCATTACTTTTTATTTATTATTATTATTATTATTATTATTATTATTATTGTCTTTTTGAGACAGGGTCTCCCTGTAGCCCCAGCTGGCCTCGAACTCACAGAGAGCTGCCTGCCTGTGCTTCCTAAATGCTGGAATTAAAGGCATGCACTACTATGCCCGGCTTATTATTTTATTTTATTTATTTATTTATTTTTGTTTGTTTTAGAGGTACAGTCTCCCTGTAGCCACAGCTAACCTGGAACTACATATGTAGACCAGGTTGACCTCTATTGGCCAGACTCTTCTTCCCAAGTGCTGGGATTAAAGATGCTTACCACTTACCACTCTTTCGGCTTTTTTTTTTTTTGGAGACAGTCTCACTACGTAGCACTGGCTGGTCTGCAACTCATTATATAGAGCAGACTGGCCTTGAAGTCACAGAGATTCACCTGAGTCTGCCTACCCAGTGCTGGGGTTACAGGCATGAAGCACCACACCTGGCTCTATTTTTTACATAAACCAGAACTGAAGTTGAACACAAATAAAATAGTATGGCTAATCTTTCAGTGTAACAAGAATCTTATTCCATTTTTCACAAACGTGTAAGTTCTGTAATAATGCCAGCAGGCTTGACTCTTACTTGTAGGAGTAAAACTCTTATTTCTAACTCTGATAGGTTAGAAAGTTCTGACAACTGCCCAGCATGGTGATACATATCTATAGTCCCAGAATTTGATAGGCTGAGGCAGGATGATCTTGAATTTGAGGCTAGCCTGGGCTATATAGTGAGCTTGAGGCCAGCCTGGGTTAAGTAGCAAGACTTTATCTCAAAGAACAAGGAATTAAAAGAGGAAGAAAAGGCAAAGAATAGAAACTGAGTAAGTGAAAAGGAGATTAAACTAGAGTTGCAATTTTAGAACTTTGCTATGACTATTAATCTTGATCTTCAGCTTGATGGGATATAGAATCAACTAGGAGGGGCTAAAGAGATGGCTCAGTGGTTAAGAGCACTGGCTGCTTTTGTACAGGATTTAGGTTCAATTCCCAGCACTCACATGGAGGCTAACAGCCATCCATGACTCCAATTCCAGGGGATTCAGAACCCTCTTCCAACCTCTGAGGGCATTACATGCACAGGTACACTTACATATATGCAGGCAAACATGCAGGCAAAACACTCATTCACATAAAAGTAACATTTTAAAAAATTAGACTCACGTAGGAGACTTTTGACAAGTGTGTAAGGGCATTTCCAGGTAGGTATAGCTGAAAAGGGAAACCTCACCATGAATGTGGGTGACGTCACTGTTGGCCAGGGTCCCTGACTGAATAAAAAGGAAAAAAAGGAGATAGCATTTGTCTTTCTCTGTTTCCTGACTGCACAGACAGTGTGACCATCCACTTCATATGATGGCAGTCATCACTTCTGAATCATGATAGACTATCCCCTCAAAATAAATAAGCCTTTCCTTCCTGAAGTTTCAGGTATTTGTTACAAGAACAGCAAAAATCAAATGTACCTAATACAGTTGTTCACTGGTGGGTCTTCATTCATGCTCCAGTGGCTAGCAGCTATTTCCCAGTGTCTTTACCTAACTAGAGTCTAACTCCTAGTAAGTCCAGTTTATGAAAAATGAAATGGTATACACTGCATGTATTCCTTCCTTCAGCCTCATGTTGAGGAGTAGGTTCCGATGGGAATTCTCCTTGGCCCAAGAGATTTTGTCATGATCTCTGATTCTACATTCTTTCTCTGCCAGTGTCTGTGCCTGTCCCCAACTTATGAGCTCGCTCTTCAAACAGGAAAGGTGATAGAACAGATGGGCAAATTTTACCCTGAACTGAAGCTAGCTTATGCTGTTCGAGGCAACAAATGTGAGTATAAGTGTGTGAGTCTAAAGCATTAGCCCAATAATTTATTTTAATTTTGAACAATTTCAAAACATACCCAGGAGTCACAATATAGTACAGTGAACATGTGTGTGCTCTCTACCCAAAGTATAACTTAAAATATTGACATTTTGCCTTTTTTTCATTTTCCTTTTTTGGTCTTTTTGAGACAGGGTCTCCCTGTAGCCCCAGCTGGCCTGGAACTCAATATGTAGACCAAACTGGCCTTATTCTCACAGAAATCCCAAACACTAAGACATTTTCTTTTTTTCCCCTTTTTTTTTGTTTTGTGTGTAGGTGTATGTTTGTACACATGTACACTTAAAGGGCAGAAGGCAGGTTTTGTTCCTTATGAACTGTCCACCTTGTTTTTTGAGATTTCTCACTGGGATAGAAATCACTAATTAGGTTAGTGTGGCCAGGAAGCTCTAGGGCTCTCTTCTCACCAGCATAGGAATTACAAGTGTACACCACCACACTCAGCATTTTCCCATGAGTTAAGGAGATGAGACTGACCACTTGACTGACTGAGCTATCTCCCCAAGTCCCCCTCCTCAGCATGTTCTATTTTATTGCATTTATTTTTGCACATTAGTATTTTGCCTGCATATATGTGAATGTACCAAGTGTGTGCCTGGTGCCCACGGAGACCAGAAGATGGTATTGGATCCCTTGGAACTGGAGTTAAAAATAGGTATTAGCATGTGGGTTTTCTGGATGAGCAGTAAGTGCTCTTAACCACTAAGCTGTCTCTCTGATCCCCAATTTATTATCATTGTTATTATCTTTTTTTCTTTTTTTTCCCGTCTTTTTGAGATGGTCTCCCTATAGCCCCAGCTGACCTGGAACTCACCAGGCTGGCCTTGAACTCACAGAGCTCCACCTGCCCTTGCCTTTGGATGCTGAGATTAAAGCCATGTGCCACCATGCCCGGCCCATTATTATTATAATTATTATTATTATTACTACTACAATTGTGTATATGATATGTGTGTACACACAGAACACAGAGCACTTGAGGAGGTCACATGACAACTTTCATGCACTGGTTCTTTCCTACTATGTGTTATAGGGGGATTGAACTTAGGTCATGTGGCTTGTGCAGCAAGTGCTTTTACCTGCTCAGCCACCTTACACAGGACCCCCAGCATGTTTTCTAAGACAGACCATTTGTCTTTCTGATTATAAAACTCTTTAGGATACCCCCCTTTTTTTTTTCTCTTTTGTTATTGTTGTTTTGAGGCAGGGTCTTACTATGTATCCCTGATTGACTTGGAACTTGCTGTATAAATCAGACTGACCTTGAACTCACAGAGATCTGCCTGACTCTGCTTCCTGAATACTGGGATCAAAGGCATATGACACTATGCCCAGATAAACCCTGTTTTTTACTTGGGTAGGAATAGATAAAGAAAACTAAATTGTTTATTTGAGACAGAATGAGCCCAGGCTGGTCTTGAATCCAAGTTCCTCTTCCTTAGCCTCCTAAATACCAGGATTGTAGATGGATAGTAGATGCCAGGATAGCTGAGGGGGCAAAGTGCATTAGGAAATTAGGAACCTTGAGAAATCTACTGGGAAGGAAGTATAATCCTGGTCTAGGCAAAATGATATTGGCAGAGGGAAAAACAAAGATAATCGGGTACTTGAAAGAGATGTGGATGATTGTAGAGAATGATGAGGATACCACTGAAGGCCCAGTTAAGTGCAGTGAGATAGAATATAGTTCAGGGCTAGTACATGATAAAAGTTCAGTCCCCAGTGACATTTCCCCCAAAGAATAGCAGAATACTATTGAAGATACTTTTGTGTTCTCATTGTTTATGTTCGTTTTTCTTTTTTTTAAGTTTTGATTTTTTTTTTTTTATGTGTATGAGTGAATTGTCTGCATATGTGTAGTATACCCCTGTCATGCGATGCCCTTGGAGGTCAGAAGACAGAGTAGGAGCCCCAGGAACTGGAGTTACAGACAGTTGTTAGCCGACATGTAGGCACAAGTAATCTAATCTGGGTCTTCTGCAAGAGCAGCCAGTGTTCTTAACTGCTGAGCCATCTTTCCAGCTTCTTAAGTTTTGATTTTTGAGGCAGTGTCTTACTATATAAGCTTACTGACTTGAACTCAAAACTCAAGATCATCCTGCTTCAGCCTCCCAAGTACTGAATTGTCAGCATGTACTATCACAACTCCTTTTTTTTTTTTTCGGAGCTGAGGACCAAACCCAGGGTCTGTTTTAACTATATATCCATTAGATACTACCTCATCCTTCCTTAAAATAGTGCTGCCAGAAAAATCATTAGCATTAAGTACATGATAGCTATAGGCTATCTCAGAGTGGAGAGCTGGCTTTGCCTTTGAAATACCCACAAAAAACATGTCATCTCCACAGTGGAAAGAGGTCAGAAGATCGGCGAGCAGATTGTCATTGGCACCCCTGGGACCGTCCTGGACTGGTGCTCCAAGCTCAAGTTCATTGATCCCAAGAAGATCAAGGTGTTTGTTCTGGATGAGGCCGACGTGATGATAGCTACTCAGGGCCATCAAGACCAGAGCATCCGCATCCAGAGGTAGGAACTGGAGCCATGAGGCTGACGTGATGATAGCTACTCAGGGCTGTCAGGAGGAGCTTGCAGAGACTCCTCTTGCTTGTGTGGGCTCTTTCCTCCGCTGTGTGCAGCAGCGTTTGTCTGATGGGCCATTTCCACAGTAGCACTCACCAGACTCCTGGCCTGGGTTGAGAAGGGACACCTGGGACCCTCAGCCCAGTGCCAGCCTGGGTCTGCTCCTCTTCCTCTTTGGAATGCTCTGCACCCCACAGCCTGCTGGGGCTGTAGTCCATCCAGACTAGGGAAGCTGAGCTTACTGTGTTCCTGGTGAAAGCCTGGGAGTCCTGCAAAGCGCCTGGGGCCTCCGCTTGCAGGATGCTGCCCAGGAACTGCCAGATGCTGCTTTTCTCTGCCACCTTTGAAGACTCGGTATGGAAGTTTGCCCAGAAAGTGGTTCCAGACCCCAACATTATCAAACTGAAGCGTGAGGAGGAGACGTTGGACACCATCAAGCAGTATTACGTCCTTTGCAATAACAGAGAGGAGAAGTTCCAGGCCCTGTGCAACCTGTATGGGGCCATCACCATCGCTCAAGCCATGATCTTCTGCCATGTGAGTAGCTGCTGAGGTGGCATGGTCACCCTGGCCCTTCCTGCTATTCATAACAGTAGGATATCTCAGAGAAGAGAGCCCCACAGAAATCTTACTTCCAAGGAGGAAAGTGGGCAGGTCAGTGAGTAGTCCATCATTGGCAGCTTTCAGGTAACCATCTCCTCCCCTGGGCTAAAGAGGACCAATCTCTGGGCTAAAGACCCATCCCCCATTCTAATCTACTTACAAAAAAAAATTGTAACTACACCTGGAGAGATGGCTTAGTGGTTAAGAGTACTGGCTGCTCTTGGAGAGACCCCAGATTTAGTTCCCTGCACACAAATTCTAGCCATCATGGGCATTGCATACATGTGGTATACTTTTTTGTCTTTTTGAGACAGGGTCTCCCTGTAGCCACAGCTGGCCTGGAACTCACTAAGCCTCAATCTCATAGCGATCCACCTACCTCTGTTTCCTGAGTGCTAGAATCAAAGGTGTGTACCACCACACCCGGCAAAATTAAAATTTTTTTTTTAAATATTTTTTTATGTGTATGTATGTACTGCCTGCATGTAGGTAAGTGCACCCATGTCGTGCAGTGCCCTCAGAGGTCAGAAGAGGCTGTTGGATCCCCTGGGACTGAGGTTACAGACAGTTGTTAGCTGCCTTGTGGGTGCTGGGATTCAAACTCAGGTCTTCTGCAAGAACAGCCAGTGTTCTTAACCGCTGAGCCATCTCTCCAGCCCCCTAAAATATTTTTAAATTAAAAAAAATTATGTGTATAAGTGTTTTACCTGCATATATGTAATTGTACCACATGTATGCAATGCCCATAGATTCTAGAAGAGGGCATCAGATTCCCTGAAACTGGAGTTACAGAGGACTGTTAGCCAACATGGTGGTAGGAACCAAACCCCACTGCCTTTAATCACAGAGCTGTTTCTCTATCACCTTAAATTTAAAAAAAAATTAGTATGAATATGTAGGATGTGGTTGTTGGTGTCAGTGGATAACTGACAGGTTTGATTCCCTGGAACTCACATGGTAAAACTCCCACTGGTTGTCCTGACCTCCACTCATCCACTGTGGCATATGTGAAATGTGGCATGCATGCATGTGCACATACAAACAATATTTTTAAAAAATAATTTTAAAAAATTTAAGGGGCTGGAGAGATGGCTCAGCAGTTAAGAGCACTGACTGCTCTTGCAGAAGATCCAGGTTCTCTTAAGGTTCAGATAGCCTTGCCCCCTCACCAACAGGATCCCAAGGACTTCTCATGCTCCTGAGAAAAGGGA